AATACTTTTTTTTTTTTTTTTTTTTTTTTTGGCTCCTTTTAAGGTTGAAAGTTAGAGAGTTAAATCATATTTCATGTTGTTAGTGTTGCATAGAAAGACGAAACATCCTGAAATTAGAAATACAGCTGGAAATCAACTCTTTGAAGCCTCTTCTGGGGAAATCAGTCCGTTCACTATGCGCAAAACTGATGTTTCTTTTGTAAACAAGTTTGTGATAATGTTAATGAGCATTAAATTATTCAGTCGCACAGGCGGTCGCTGTGAATCCCACGATACGGATGAAACATTCATGCGGCGCTTCAGTGAGAAATAACTGGAGAATCACTGACAACACGAGCTCAATAAATAAATCAAACAATCAGATCAGAGTCAGAGTCATTTCTTCAGGTTCAGCAAACGGAGCACAAACGGTGTGTTTGAGAGACGCAGGTGAAAGGTCAGGATCAGGATCACGCAGGAGTCAGAGGATACATATTTCATCCGCAGACACGCTATAACAGTAATGAAAACTGCATTGAAAAAATTGTGCAAGGTTTACTTTAAAACATTTTTGTGTGCATTGTTAATAGAATTTACTGTATTTATTTATTTATTTATATTTCTGTGTGTAATTATTTTTGGATCTGCTTAAATATTTGGTGTAATTTTTTTTTCTTGTGGAATTTTTATGTATTTATTCATTCATTTGGTGTAAGATTTAAATTGAACAATTTAATTTTTTGATTTTGTTGTAATGTTTCTGTGTGTAGAATTTACTTTCAACAGTTTTATATATTTATTTATTTAGGTGTAATTTTTTTTTGGTGCAAGATTTAAATGAAACAATTTATTTATTTAGGTGTATTTTTTAACGTTTTGTTATTTATTCATTAATTCATTCATTTGGTCTTACATTTAAATTAAACTATTTTATTTTTTGGTTTTGTTTATGAATTTACTTTAAATATTTCTATTTGTGTATTTATTTATTTAGGTGTAATTTTGTTGGTGCAAGATTTAAATGAAACAATTTTATTTATTTATTTTGATGTAATGTTTTGTGTTTAATTTACCGTAAACTACTTATTTTGGTGTCTTTTTTGTTTTTTTGGTGTAGGACTTACTTTAAACAAAGAAACAAAAAATAAATAAATAGATTTTCACTCAAATATCGCTAGCATATTTCAGAAATAATTTTTCTTGTGAAAAACAAACTTTCTTGTGAAGTAAATGTATCGTGGTATTTCTACTGGAAAACAAAACAATACATTGTTTTCTGTCTTTCTCTCTCCTTTCCGCAGTGTAACTATTCATTAAACATGGGTGTCTTTTATCACACTGCTTCTGAAACATTGTAGCTGACGTTCATCTAACATTTTTCTAAAGCTGCTACTTGTTATAGAATGTTCAGAGAACATTCAAAAGTAACGTTCCCATAATGTTTGGAAAATTATTAACGGAATGTTCCCTTAATGCTCGCACAACCAAGAAAAATGTTTTTAAAACATAAAAAAATGGACGTTTTGAACATTCAGAAATAACGTTTTCCTAACTTAATGAAAAGTTCTCGAAACATTACCACAGAAACATTATGCATACAACAGTTTGTGAAATGTTATTCCTCTGAAACGTTTTAGTCGGACAACTATGTGGCAATGTTTTTTTAAATGTTACAAGCTGCTTCGGAACGTTCAGAGAAACATTTATATGTAACGTTCGCATAATGTTTGCAAAATTCAAAAATGGAACGTTCCTTTAACATTCACATAACCAAAAAAAAAATGTAAAAACTGGACATTTTGAATGTTCAAAGAATAACGTTTTCATAATGTTATTGCTTCAGTGTATCTGCGATCAAGCTGGAATTTAAAGGGCGTCGTGTGAATAAATGCTGTGTTATTTATAAACGGAGGAATCTCACCTCGTACTCAAAGTCATCGGTCCTCTCGGCGTCCGCTGCCATGTTGGAGAGATACTCGCTGCCCTCCAAGTATTCCTGATCCATCGTGTGCAGAGAGAGACAGCTGAGCAGAGAACAAACACAGATCTCATTAACATCATCTGAGACACACAGTGACAGCTGATATTGATATGCATTTGTGTAAGCAGTCTGCTATATATCCACCACAAGAAGAAAAGACACGCAGCAGACATTGGTTCTCGCACTTCTGAGTACTGTGTGATAAAAACTTGCAACTGTGAGAACAAAAGTCAGAAATGTGAGATCAAAAGTCTCAATTACCTTTATTTATTCATTATTCATTATTTACCCTTTGCGGAAACAAAAAACTGTCACTGAAAGTCAGAATTCTGAGTTCATGTCTTGCATTTTTTGACCTTTTTCTCATAGTTATGAGTTTATATCTCACAATTCAGACTTTTTCTCAGAATTGTGAAAAAATGAGTCAGAATTGCGATATAAAAAAAGTCACAATTACCTTTTTAATTTATTATGTGCCAGACACAAAAAAACAGAATTGCAAGATGAAAAAAAAGTCAGAACTGCGTGATTATAAACTCAGAAATGCAAGAAAGTAAGTCAGAATTATGAGTTTGTATCTTGCATTTCTGACGTTTTTCTCTCACAATTCAGCCTTTTTTTCTCCAAATTGCAACAGAAAAAACTCAGAACTGTCAGATAAAAAGTCACAATTACCTTTTTTATTTTTTTAATTCCATGGCAGAAACAAAAAAACAGAATTGCAACATTAAAACTCAGAATTGCATGAAAAAAGTCGGAATTGTTAGATAAAAAGTTTAAAAGTAAATGTAAAAGATTAAAAGTATAAACTACTTTAGCTTCCATATCTGTACTTTAATAAAGAACTCTTTGATTGATTTACATTGCAAGCTTCAGAATTTCATTATATATCAGCATCTGCAGCAAACGGCATATTGTTTGCTCGGTTTGAGTCTCTGAATAAAACTGAGCTGTTTTTCCTTCATATTCTTATTATATCAGACTATATGAGTCTAATACGATACTCAACATAAAACACATGCAAACTAAACTTGATATTAGTGTGTCGTTAAGCTAATGAAGTGATACACACACAAATATTGAGTGACACTTTCAATACCTTACTAAGTTTATTGATATTTCTGGTAGTACGTTAATTTGTGTTTTTATATCAATGGTTTTCTTGCTTCATCTGCCATTTTGGATGGATTTTTCTTTTCTTTTCACAAAGTTAGTCAATGCGTTCTGGAATTGCCTTCATCTGTGGACACACGTTTGCAATGACTCTGAGTCAATAGAGTCTGAATCAGCTGTTATAACTCTAGTCTGACTGCTTTGAACTCGAGTGTTTCATCATGTGAATGTGAATTTATCCCAGCGGACAAGAATATGTGACCCTGGAGCACAAAAGCAGTCTTAAGTCGCTGGGGTATATTTGAAGCAATAGCCAACAATACATTGTATGGGTCAAAATTATCCATTTTTCTTTAATGCCAAAAATCATTAGGATATTAAGTAAAGATCATGTTCCATGAAGATATTTTGTAAATTTCCTACCGTAAATATATCAAAACTTAATTTTTGATTAGTAATATGCATTGCTAAGAACTTCATTTGGACAACTTTAAAGATGATTTTCTCAATATTTAGATTTTTTTGCACCCTCAGATTCCAGATTTTCAAATAGTTGTATCTCAGCCAAATATTGTCCTATCCAAACAAACACACACACACACAAAAAAAATTATACAAAATGTATAAATCTCAATTTCCAAAAAGTTACCCTTATGACTGGTTTTGTGGTCCAGGGTCATTGGGTTATGAAAACGTTTTCTGAACGTCCACTTTTCTAAATGTTACAAAAACATTCCATTGTATCATTTTCATTATAGGAACTTAACTTTGGAATGTTCTCAGAACGTCCTGAAACCAGTCATGAATAATAATGTTTAAAAAAGTTGAATGAAACACACACACACACAAAAAAAATTATACAAAATGTATAAATCTCAATTTCCAAAAATTGACCCTTATGACTGGTTTTGTGGTCCAGGGTCATTGGGTTATGAAAACGTTTTCTGAACGTCCATTTTTCTAAATGTTACAAAAACATTCCATTGTATCATTTTCATTATAGGAACTTAACTTTGGAATGTTCTCAGAACGTCCTCAAACCAGTCATGAATAATAATGTTTAAAAAAGTTGAATGAATGCTGCATATATATCATTTTTGTGCTGTTTTATGAATTCCCAGCAAAAATGACTATATCATGAGATACACCAATAAAATGCTATAAAACGTCTCATTGCACAATATGAGGTGTTGGAGCTCTACATATTTGCTCAGGGAGAGCGACGGGGTCACATGTGGAGAAGGCTGGTGAAGAACGAGCGCAGAGACTGCAGATGTCAGCGGATGGAGACAAACACACATCATGCATCTTCAATAGAGATGAGAATTGAATTGTGCGACAGAAGAAATGAAGCTCCTGTCATGTGCGGCTGCTCGGAGTCTAATTCATCTCTATAAATCTCGTCCGCTGTCCTCTGCGTGACTCGTGCGTCTTTGTTTTCTTGAGGTTGTGCTGAAATGTAATCTGTGCTTGTGCACACAGCTGATGGTGGTTCATTAGCATGCGCCAGCATCTCAGATCTGGTTTCTCTGGTTTAGTCAGGTGAGTTTATGGTTTGTTGACTCTATAAAGCGAGCTGAACACTGATGATGATGATGCTGAACCAGCCGGATCACGACTGGATTCAGATCCACTGGAAGAGGAGTGGAAATGACAGGATGCGCAATTTACTGAACTGTACTAAGGAATTTAACACGGGGGATGCATTCTGGGAAACTAAGTGTTCTTCCATTCCCATACAAAAACGTTCATTTATTAAACATGATGAATAAACGAAATACATATGGGTGACTTTTCAAACACCCGTCTATCTATCCATCCATCCATCCAATTCATCCATCTATCTATCTATCAATCCACATATCTTTCGAATTCATCCATCCATCTATCCATTAATCCATCCACCCATCTATCTATCCAATTCATCCATCCATCTATCTATCCAATTCATTCATCCATCCATCCATCCATATATCCAATTCATCCATCCATCCATCTATCTATCCAATTCATCCACACATCTATCTATCAAATTCATCCATCCATCTATCTATCCAATTCATCTATCCATCCATCCATCTATCTATCCAATTCATCCATCCATCCATCCATCTATGTATCCAATTCATCCATCCATCCATCTATCTATCCAATTCATCCACCCATCTATCTATCCAATTCATCCATCCATCTATCTATCCAATTCATTCATCCATCCATCCATCCATATATCCAATTCATCCATCCATCCATCTATCTATCCAATTCATCCACACATCTATCTATCAAATTCATCCATCCATCTATCTATCCAATTCATTCATCCATCCATCCATCCATATATCCAATTCATCCATCCATCCATCCATCTATGTATCCAATTCATCCATCCATCCATCCATCTATGTATCCAATTCATCCATCCATCCATCTATCTATCCAATTCATCCATCCATCCATCCATCTATGTATCCAATTCATCCATCCATCCATCCATCTATGTATCCAATTCATCCATCCATCCATCCATCTATGTATCCAATTCATCCATCCATCCATCTATCTATCCAATTCATCCA